AGGTATTCAGAGGCTGCTGCAGCCATCATCTGATGGGGCCTGGCTACTTCATGAGTTGGTGGGATACCTTGGCATTGTTCACATGGTGCTGGGTTTTTGTATTTCTTTTTTAAAATTTTTAATTAGTTACACATGACAGTACAATGATCTTGATATATCATACATTTGAATCAGATGGGATATAATTTCTCATTTTTCTGAGTGTACAGTCTGCAGAATTACATTGGTCATGCAGTCACGTATATACCCACAGCAATAATAATGTCTATTTTATTCCGGTGCTGGTTTTGTAGGAATGCAAATTATTGAGATTTGGGAGTCATGGTGTCTTCCACCAAGATTTCAAAGGAGGGTCTGAGAGGCCAAGCAATGTGTTTCAGGGTCAGAAATCCCTGCAGCCCTTGAGAGAGCAATGTGTGAAGCTTTGAAAGTGCTGACAATGATGCAATGAAGACTCCAAGAAGTTAGGGATGCCAGGAATATGGAATGCCTGCAGAGGAAAGTTACAGGCAGAAAGTGGAGCTAGCCCAAGAGAGAAGTCATGTGGGATAGCCAACATGGCCATAGGGGTGGGCTGCTATAGTCCTTTGGAGCCACCTCATGCCTGCCATCTTGTGTCATGGATCTAAACATGGATCTACGGATTTGCTGGATTACATTTGTGTTGGAAAAAATCCCTTCTTTTCATACCCCTATTCCTCACTTTTAGAATGGGAATGTTTAGTCTGTGCCATTGTATATTGGAAGATGGAATTTTATTTAAAAAAATTTTATTTTAGTTGTAGATGGACACAATACCTTTATTTTATTTTTATGTAGTGCAGAGGATTGAACCCAGGATCTCGCAGGTGCTAGGTGAGTGCTTTACCGCTGAGCCACAACCCTAGCCCCGTGATGAGTGGTTTCTTAAAATCAAAAAGGCCCATAGATATTCCCATGTCAAGTAAGAAATGACCTACAACCAAAGGCTTTGCTAGACACAAATGAGAAGACTTTCTTGTAGGTGTAGTCTTTGGTGGATGATATCTGCTATAATCAAATGCCCCCCCCCACACACACACACTAAGAATAGGTTATTTTCCCAATGTACAGCCACAAAAGCAAAATAAAGTCTAACTGAAGGCTTTTGCATATTGAGCTCTTTCACAATAAAGCTATTTATTCCCACTGAGGCAGAGAACTTGGAAACAGGCTCCACTGGATAGCCAGTGTAGAGGCTGAGCCAAAAACATGCTAGATATAAAAGCTGGTCCTAGATGGTTTTTAGCCAACTCACCAAATGGGAAACCATTTCATTGCTGAAGCATATAATTATGCAAATTCACCACTAAATCTTCTAGCTTCAAATCTAAACATCCAATTAGACTATGAAGGGATTCAAAGAAAATCTATTTTCCCTGTTTTATGGCCAATCTCAGGATGGGAAAGCTCTCATCTTTCACTAATGAGGAAACAACAAATGTAATGCAAGGCCAATAAAAATGTTCTTCAACTTGAGGCAAAAAGAGAACATATTAAAAAATACATTCAAGAAAAAATACAATTTAATATAAGAAAGGAGTGGCACTTGGAAATCCCGACAGAGAAGAAACTAAAAGGAAACAAAGATGAAAAACACCATATACGAAAAAGGAATTTTAACCACATATACGGAAATAAAGGATTTTACAGTTTACTAGGTGCAAATTTATGCCTATGTTTCACATGACAGTAAACATGATGATTCCTTGCTATATATTAGCAAAATTTAGATAGAGCACCACTAGAAAAAATTCAAAGTATAATAATCGCTATATTGTATACTGTGTGCTGAGTACTGTTTTAAGTATCTTACACGTATTAACTAATTTAAACTTTACAATCCTATGAAGTAGCTCCATTTTATAGATGGAGGAACTGAGAAACATGAAAGTAAAGTGATCTGTCCAGGATCACACACCTAAAAAAGCAATGAAGCCAGGATTTGAATGCATGATGCCAGGAACCAAACCTATGCTCTTAACCACTACACTGCTTCTTCTAAAAATAGAAACAGAAGGAAACTTACTAAATTCAATTAAAAGAAAAAAATCAACCCAAAATGAACCCTTTGATACTGCAAAGTGCTAAAAACATTACCTCTAACAGGAAGACATGGAATACCTGTTATGCACTATTCAACATTTTGAAGTTCTTACTGATGCATAAGCAATGGATTGGAAAACGAGATAAATGAATATTTAACAAATTGTATACCTACAAAACTAAGAAATAAAACTATGAGAAAAGATAATATAGTCAAATAACTGGATCCAAACAATTTATAACAGTAATTTTATTTAATTAGCAATAACTAATAGGGAGAGGAATGACTTTCAAATGTAGCCACTTTTCATCCCCTCCCCTCCCAAAAGCCTGGGGCTTTTCCAGGAAGTTAGGACATTCATTTCTATTTAACACTGACACCAGGATGGTGGTAGTGGGCAAATAACATTATGACTAGAACTGTTCCTCACCCCCAAGAGACTTAGTGTGATAGAGAATGAATAGATAAGAACCAGATGACAAAATTGCAGTATTCAATAAGCAGGGAAGTTCTACAGATGATAGAACCAATAAGGCCAACTCGAGGTGGAAGGTTGCCCATGTGCAGCCCACGTGGCTATGTAGTGGTACAGGGTCAGCTCTTCTTTGGATCTGGAAGCTCCCAAAGTAACTCTCTTGACACACACATTCCTATGTGCAGAACTCTTTCATAACTTTCAAAGGAAAATGGAAACAAATACCAAAAATTTAGTTGAGGCACTCTTGCCCCTCCCCGGCACTGCACTGGGAGCTGTGATTGTTTCGTTCACTTTGCTTTTTAATAAAATTACTGCTTGCAAAAAAAAAAAGTTGAAAACAAATATAATTCACAATGGGCTGGGGATGTGGCTCAAGCGGTAACGTGCTCGCCTGGTATGCGCAGGGCGCTGGGTTCGATCCTCAGCACCACATAAAAAAAATAAAATAAAGATGTTGTGTCCACCGAAAACTAAAAAATAAATATTAAAAAAACAAATATAATTCACAAATGATACATTTCAAGTTGTATCCTGAATTCAGTAATCTTTTAAGTCCCCCCCCCTAAAAAAATTTATACTTCCAAGAATCTTTTTTAAGTTTGTCTGAGATGTCTCCCCTAGAATCACATCTGATTATTTTCTTAAATATCAACTCTTCCCTTTCTTTTCCAGTATTAGACATAAACCACAGTTCACAAAATCTCCCCTTCAGGCTATATATCTGACACTGTACCTGTAGCCTCTTCAGCCATTTCTGCTATATTGCCAGTATTCTCTTTCTGTTAAGAAGAAATTTGGAAGATGGAAATTGAAAGAGATAGACACTGGAGGTGAAGTCTTCTGGCACTAGGGCCCCATGGTAACAGTGGAAAGGAAAAGACAATAAAGTTTATGATTGGTGAATGACTACAGAAAAAAGTTCTGAGACTTTCTGTTTCTTACGTCTTTGAGGAATGAAAGATGGACCTAAAATTGTCTGAATGTATAGCTTTCATCTTGTAATTAGGATGGCAACTGAATTTAAACAGGTTGATAAGGAAAAAATTTATCCATTTGACTCTACTATATAATCTTACCACAAAACTCATCACTGTGAATTCCAATCATCTAGGAATGCATCTCACTGAATTCTCAAATCTCCGTATTGTTCTTAACCTGTTTATTGAGGAAGTAGGATGCAGTCAACAAGTTTGGAACTTCAGTCAGTATGCAGAGCAATATATATCTCACTGGGACATGACTGCCCTAGACAACACCTAGACACTCTGTCATACACACACACACACACACAATTTTGAGTCAGAAATACCAGTAATAATAAGATTTCTAGGAACATATACAGAGATATCAGTGAGACTTTTGTATATGATAGTCCATGATAGGATGCACTTTCACCTTTAGAAGCTTGAAGGAGAGAAGAAACTGCATAACTCAATTCAGAGTTGAGGTTTAAAACTTATTTATTTAACAGCTAGTATAAACAAACTATTATCTATATGCTGAAAGATATAGATATATACTTGACCTCAATGAGCCAAAAGTAAGGGGGTATGAAAGTAAACACTGTGCATTGAAAACATTTACAAAGCAATTTAACACAGTTACACCTGATAGCACCAGTCATTTAAAGCACTGAGGTCAAATCAATAGATGTTTAAGAGGAATAAAGAAGCAGGTGAAGAAAATCCTTAAGACATGAGATAGATTTTTGAAGGTTATGAAAGAATTTTAGATTATCAAAAAGGAAGAAAAAAGCTTTCTAGGCAGAAAACACAGATGATAAGCTACAGGTGGCAGAAAGCTTAAACAGTACATGGAGACCACAGCCAAGAGGAAGAGAAGGAATCATAGCTTGAAGAATGCCTTTGGGAAATGATGAAATGGGGGACCTAAAATACACAGATATTACCTTTGTCCTTGAGAAGCACACAGTCTGATTGTGGGATGGATAAATAAAAAATGAGATAGACATTAAAACAGTTTAAAAAATAAAGGAATAGGGAAACCAACAAGTAAATGAAATGCATAGTCCTTACTTTCCCAATAATGGAGAAGGACTGCAGTAAGTTATTCCCAATTTGGTGACTCAATGAAAATTGACAATGGTCCACGTAGATGAAAGGTTCCAGGGGAGATCAGGATGAACATGATTCTTATAAAGAAAGCTTCAAGTTGGGCACAGTGGTGCATACCTGTAATTCCAGCTAATCCGAAGTCTGAGGAAGGAGGATTGAAAGTTCAAAGCCAGCGGGAGAAACTTAGTGAGACTCTGTCTCAAAAATAAAAATTTTGAAAAAGGGCTAGGACACAGCACAGTAGCAGAATGCTTGACTAGCATGTGAAAGGCCTATTACCATTATCAATACCCAGTATCACCAAGGAAAAAAAAAACTTCACTGAAGTTCCTTATTCTCTTTTTCAAGAAAACCATGCCTTACGATGCTGAGTGAGGCAGACCTGAGGGTTTCTCTCCAGTGTGAGTTCGCTGGTGGTGATTAAAAGTGGAACGCTGACTAAAAGCTTTCCCACATTCAATACATTCATAAGGTTTCTCTCCAGTGTGAACTCTCTGGTGCACAATAAGCTGTGAACTGTCACTAAAGGCTTTCCCACAATCATTGCATTTGTAGGGCTTTTCCCCAGTATGGGTTCTCTGATGTACCATAAGGCTAGAGCTGTAACTGAATACCTTCCCACACTCATGACATTCATAGGGCTTTTCACCAGTGTGGATTCTCTGGTGTATAATGAGGTGAGAGTTTTGATTGAAGGATTTTCCACACTCATTGCATTTATAGGGTTTTTCACCTGTGTGAAGCCTCTGGTGCCGAATAAGGCACTTACTCAGACTGAAAGCCTTACCACACTCACTACATTCAAAAGGCTTTTCTCCAGTATGAATTCGTTCATGGTCAACGAGTTGAGAATTCTGACTGAAGGCTTTCCCACATTCACTGCATTTGTGTGGTTTCTCCCCAGTGTGGAGGCTCTGATGTCGAATAAGACATTTACTCCGACTAAAGGCCTTGCCACATTCATTACATTCATAAGGCTTCTCTCCAGTGTGGATCCTCTGATGATCAATAAGATTTCTGTTAGAACAGAAGACTTTCCCACACTCAGTACACTTGTAAGGTTTCTTACCAGTGTGAAGGACCTGATGTCGGACAAGATTTTTACTCCGACTAAAAGCTGACCCACATTCCTTGCATTCATAAGGTTTCTGCCCAGTATGGGTTCTCTGGTGATCAAATAGTTTGGAACTCTGATTAAAAGCTTTTGCACATTCATTACATTTATAGGGTTTCTCCCCATTATGAAGTCTCTGGTGTTGAAGGAGATGGGAGCTGTGCCGATAGGTCTTCCCACACTCACTGCATTCATAGGGTTTTTCCCCAGTGTGAGTTCTGAGGTGAACAATTAGCTGGGAGGTCTGCCTGAAGGTCTTACCACACTCATTACACTCATAGGGTTTCTCTCCAGTGTGGATTCTCTGGTGGCCAATGAGGTGTGAACTCCGATAGAACACTTTGCCACATTCATCACACTGAAAGAATTTCTGTCCCTTTGGAACTCCTTGATATTCCTCAGGACTGGGGCACAGATTTGGATGTTCCCCTACTTCCTTATAATCCTCACATCTGTCTTTTGTGGAGTTCTTCTTATCCTCATCTGTTATTTCCAAAAAATTGATTTCCAAACTGTTCCCCTCTTCATCTGAGGGCTGCCCTTCCAGCTTTCTCAAAGTATCTTCACAGACATCTTCAACTTCTGGTCCCATAGAAGTGACCCCAAAGAGTCCCCGTGGTGACCTATCAGATGACTCTGATCCTTTAGAAATGGTCTGCTTTGGAGTGAATTCAGAACTCTCCATCCTATTCTCACCTGCTGCCAAAAGAAAGAAGAAAATAACCTTTACTCACTTTATGCCCTGTTCTGGAAACAGAACCAAGAGCTTAGTGTCAAAAAAAAAAGTCACCTTTATGGTTAAGGAATAAAAGAACATCTTGAGAAGGGAAGAGGAAATAGGAAATATCTCAATTTGTTAATTTTTTTTAAATTCAGGATAGAAAAACAAAAGTGGAAGAGGGTAGAAAAAGAGATACCAGTACAGACAAGATGTTGAGCCAGAACAGATAGATAGACAATCAAAAAGCAAGGGCTGAGGTGGCAAAGCATAGTACACTCTTCCAGAAGTTACTATGATGCTGTCTCCTGGGTAAAATGACAAACTCTACATTCCTTTCCAACCATGGCTACCAGAAAAGATGTTGGGAGAGAGAAAGCTAACAAACACTTCAAGTTAAATATAAGAGAGAGGGCAAAGATAAGAGTGAGTTGGTGAGAGATTATGTTGTGAGAATATGACTAGGAAAGTTTATAAAAAGGAGAGATTCTGTATGACAGGACAGTGACAAGATGTGGGTATGGGTTCAGAAATACTGTGGAACAGTGTTGAAGGAGATGGCAGAACTCAAAAGTGGATAGGCTGGGTCCCCAAGCAGTGAATGCTAGGAGAAAGTTCTGTACTCCCATGAAACCAAAAATTATCAATAATTTCAAATATGAATTAAATGCCTTAAAGATCTTGATTTTTTAGAATAAGGAAACTGAAGAGTTGAGCATTTGCCTTGAAATCTTGGGAAAGGCACAGTAGTATAGGTTATCACTAAAAACTAGGTGAGTTCCCTTCAATCCTCTTTTAGCTATGGTTAGGCTATAACACCATTTAGCATATAGAAAATCACAAGATGATTCTCATGTTCACCCTCGGACAAGTTGGCTAGTGTCATAAGTTTGTAAATCACAGGATCTAACCTTCCCTGGTTTTTGCAGAGAGAGAAATTCATGCAACCATACTTGGCAGCAAGTCACCCTGGGCATTCCACCCCAGATGATTGGACCAAGGCCAGGCACAAGGCCCAAGTACAATTTGTCTGTAGGTTAGTCATTAGATTCTGCTGCGGCTGGGCCAGACACTACCAAAGTACAGATGATATTTAGTGGCTGTAGCAATTAGAACCCTCTCTAAGTAAATTTTGTCCTGGAAACTGAGCAAAATTATAGCAACTAGAAGTAAGACCTAAGGCTGAAATGATGCATGGGCCAAGTCAAATCATTAGAAGCCACAATAAGAATGTATGAGGAAATCAAAAACAGAATTGAGGAACTATGATGGGGATAAAAGTTTTAGAGTAAATAAATGGGTCATAGTGGGAGAAGCAGAGAGGAACCAGACACAGGGAGTAGCTATGTTACATTCATATTGGACCACTCATGTAAAATTTATTTGCCTGTGATGCTGAGGCTTCTGGGCTGTCCTGGGATGTAGCTCATTCTTCTTGAGGCTGTTTCCTACGTTCTAGTCTAGCTGATCAATTTGTTCTAGGTTCCCATTACTGTAAGCCTTAAAACACATAGCTCTTTACTGACCATAGACTGAGTGACTCTCTATTCCTTACAACTTAGAAAATCCAAACTAGCCACCATTTAGACATCAAACATGATATAACGGAAATATTGATCATTGTTAAAGCTAGGTGGTAAGTGCAGCAAGGTTCACTATACTTTGTTTGGAAATGTAAATGTTTGTAATAAAAGTCAAAATAAAAGAAAAAGAACATAGCCAAGAAAATGTATAAAATGCAGACTCTTAAGTTAATAGGAAAGAAAATCATTACCCAGTGAGTTCATGATGCTGTAGTTTTCCAGTATTGTGTTCCGGTACAAGGCTCTCTGCCTGACAGCAGGGCCTTTCCACTTCTTCTGTGTACAGTCCACTGACAGGTCCTCATTTGTGGCAGTCTCCTGGAATAACAAGCTTCTACTGCTCAGGTAGAGTCCCAGGCTGAAGGGAAGAGTCATCAGGGTGTAGATGTCACAGGGTACTGGTTCTTGGTGGGGAAAGGGGCAGGGGAAAGGAGTTTGGATGACTCATTGGAAAGGCCAAGTCCAGGGCAAGACAAAAATTCCTTAACTACAAGTAGGAACCCAGCTCCAATGTAACAAGTTAGGCAAGAGTTATAGTAGCTGGCTCTTATGTGGCAGTCTCACAGATAAGCTCTAGACATTCTTGGGCCAAAGGCACAGGAACTTGGAAAAAAGAGAAAGAGCCACACTCACCTGGGCCTTGACCATCTGAAGCACAGTGGCCATTACTTGGTCTCCTGAGTTCCCCATCTGAGAATGAGCCGGAACTATAGATGCAAGTTGAGCTGAGGGAGGAAAGAAAGCACTGAGTGGGCTGATTCCAGCCCCCAGCTCCCATAAGAACTATATTCCCAAGGAGAGGATTCAAGAGAACCCAAGCAGCTCCATGCACACTGACTCTTTTTTTTTTTAATTTTAATATTTATTTTTTAGTTTTTGGCGGACACAACATCTTTATTTTTTGTATGTGGTGCTGAGGATCGAACCCAGGCCGCATGCATGCCAGGCAAGCGCGCTACCGCTTGAGCCACATTCCCAGCCCCGACACTGACTCTTGGCTCTCCTCCTAAAGGCTTTATCCCAAGTGTGCTGTGGCTGTTCCCTGGAGGGCACAGTGAGAACTCCCTAGTCAAACTAAGAACTGGGTTTGCTCCTAGACTGCACTCTCCTCAATTTCTCTGAAGGAAGCCGTGTCTGACCATGTTCTCTCTGCAATGGCTTCCCTATCACTGGCCAAACCTGATTTCCCCTCAGGTCTCTGGTTCCTCACGTCCAGCTCTCTCTTCCTGTTCCTGCCATGTCATTATGGACACCCTTGGAAGCCCAGCCCAGTGTTCTTTTTTTGTCCACAAGCTCACTGGCTCTCATACTTCTCACTTCTCCTTTCAGACCCCTATCACAGCTATGTATTGGGCATTTCACTTTGATCTCTGAAGATACCTTAAATTGATTTTCTAAAATGCAGTTTCTTACCACCTTCCTTTCCTGATTTCCCACATTTTGTCCATAAGTCCTTCATTGAGAAAAAGCCTACTATTCCCCCATCTATGAATTTGTCCATTCCTGTATTTCTCAGACCTATCCTTTTCCATGTTACCCACCATGTTCAGGTAGTTATTTGCATATTTTACTGCACTAGTCCTCTATTGAGGCTCCATATAATTCAATACACAATATTCCCCTGCAGCTGTGTAATTCTCCTGAGAAACTATTTCTTCAACCACCCCTCAATTTTGCTAGCCTCGATGTCAAAATTCCAATACAAGCAGGGCTTTGAATTCCAAATACAGCTCTCCTTGACTCCACCTCAATGACTGCTGAAGGGTCTTTGCCTAAATCCTCTACTAATAGTCTACCACTTTCCTCTTGCCTTCATTGTTCATTTGTGAGAGGATCAAATGCCAGAGATATCACTCATATATGTCTTATAAGGTTGACTTTTTTTACACATTCGATTAACTCCTTGCTACATACATAATAACTTAATTTTGAGGGGAGGGGTAGTGGGGATTGAACTCATAGGCACTCGGCCATTGAGCCACATCCCCAGCCCTATTTTGTATTTTATTTAGAGACAGGGTCTCAATGAGTTGCTTAGCACCTTGTTTTCTGCTGAGGCTGGCTTTGAACTCTCGATCCTCTGTCTCAGCCTCCCAAACTGCTGGGATTACAGGCGTGCACCACCACGCCCGGCTACATAATAACTCTTTTTTTTTTAATTTGTTTTAATTAGTTACACATGACAGTATACATAATAATTCTTTAAAGATAGAGTACTATATCTCTTTGGTCCCCAGCAGTGTATTTCCTATGTGCTTGAAAAAACTTGCTAAATGCATGATTGGAGAATAAGTAAAAGGAACAGATGAGGTCATTAAAGGAAGGAGGCCAGATAGCAGGGCAATGCAGGATTCCAGTAGGTGTGAGACGTAAAGATGAAGGAAAGGAGACCCCAGTGGACAGATGAGAAGTGCAGCTTGAGGTATGAGTTGGGGATATGAGTACCGAAATGCCCACTGGGGAGGTGGTGTGCCCCTGGGTCATGAGGAGGTTCCAGGTGGGCTCCAGGGGCTGAACCCCCACTGAGAGGTGAGGTAGGAGATTCCTCTGTTGTACCCAGAACTGTTGTCTCCTCCATATGTACTTCCTGTTCCTGTGCTGAGGCTGAAACCTAGAGATAAGGAAATATAATTTGGGTTCAAAAAGAGCATCCTTGAAGGTACAGAACCCAAAACCTCTATGAAGCCCCCTCTAGGAAGAAACCCAGGGAAAGAAAAGCCACAGTGTTCTTCTGACAAAATCTGAAGCTTGCACTCCTACTTGCCATCCCTCTGTTGAGCCTCTTGGTAAGAGCTTGAGGAACAGATTCTATAACCATTTCCACTCGGTATTAGGTCTTCAGACACAAATTTGCTTACAAAAAAACATCTAGAAATGTGAACAAGAATAGCAATTCAGTACATTCTCTAGGGCCTTAGACTACATAAGAGAACAATAAGAAGTACAGAAGAAGTAAGAAATAACAGGCATGTGACACCTGATTACACAAAATAGCTACTGAAGCTGACAGATGAAACAATTCCCCAGAACACTGGACAACAAACCTTAAGAAAGCTTTTCCAACTTCTTTCAAAGTGTCTCCTCTTCAGAGAAGTCTTCCCTGAACACATTAACAAAGCAGGGATAGTCATTCTCTTAAATTACCTAGTTATAATTTCCAGATATATGTAATACTCTTTATCTTATTTACATTCCTACTGTCATTTTTACCCACTGGAATATTAAGTTTTGTGAGTATAAGAACTTTGTCTTGATCACTAGCTCCTAAAGAAATGCTTGGCCCAACACTAGTGTTCAATTAATATTTGTTGACTGACTTCCCCTTGAAATGTTGCTAAGGGTCTTTATGGTTACCTGCAAATTCAGTTTTCAAGATATTCTACCTCTCACCAAAAATTGATATTAAAAAGTCAAATAAGGTCAGATAACATCCATCTTTAGAGATCTTGAAGACACCTTAGAACATAGCCATTTTATTTCTAACCTGCGCTAGTCACCAAACCAGCTCCCCACAATTTCATGGTTACTATTTTTAGCAGTACTTGGAGCAGAAAACACAAATCATTATCTATAAAAAAAAAAAAGTACATTTATGCTGAGTGTGGTTGTGTATGCCTATAATCCTACTGACTTGGGAGTAGACACAGGAGGATCACACATTCAAGGCCTGCCTCTGCAACTTAGTGAAGCCCTGTCTCAAAATAAAAAGTAAAAAGGAATGGAGAGGTAGCTTAGTGGTTAACTGCCCTGGTTTGATACCCAGTAATGAAAAGTGAAATTTTTAAAAAGTGAAATTCCCTTGATCTGGATGTATGAGACAGCATGAAATGAAAATAACTTTTTTAATAAACCATGCCAGATTAGCTTCTTGGCAACATCTGCTGAGATGTCAAGGGACTTGTCCTTTAATACATCTCAACAGTGTGGTTCCCAAGTTCTTCACTGGAAGGTTCTTACAAATAGGATTCACAGCTTTTCAGTACAGTAGCTGTGGGTCTGGGCAGATGATAGAACTTAACTGCACTGTGTTAACACAACCTTGTGATTTGCTGACAATTAAATTCTAGTACACGTCCAATTCCTTATCAGGGATGTATTGGTTTTCTTTCCTTGAAAGCATGAAAATCTCATTTCAATTTCCATTCTAAATTGGTATTCTACAGCAAGAGACTAGAGAAAGATGTAGTGGCTTAGAATGTAGGGAGGCAGAAAATCTTGGTCCTGACACTTGGTGGTAATCAGCAATAACAATACTTTGGCTAAAATCAATGCTTACTAGATGCTTAATCTGGATAAGCCAATCAACCTCCCTGGGCTTACTTCACTTTTCAAATGGAGATAATGACTGCTACAACACCAATTTTGTAAGCCTCGTAGGAGCTGAAATAAGATACAAGACACAAAAACATTTTGTTAATTGTATGATTCTGCTGCTCCACAAGAATTACTCTATAACTCTCTCCAGCTCCCAAGGACATTCATGTCCATGCTCTTCCTCCAGCAATAAAGTGACTTGCTCCTGATGGGAAGAATGGCTCTGATTTGCCCTAAACTTCCCTAATCTCCTCCTGGCAAACTACCCTAGAAAAGTGTATTTATTCCTTTAGTCATTCTATAAACATTTTATGAAAGCCTGCTAGGAAAGACAGTCTTGCCCTCATGTGTTCACGTCAGAAAATAAAACACTGACCAGGGACCCCAGGCTTAGGCTGGAGCCATGAGTGTTTTGCTCCTTACCTGTTAACCTGAGCTGTGATGATTGATTTATTCACGTATGCTTACTTGTTTACACAAAGGAAATGACAGCTGACAACAAATTCAATCAATTATGCATTGACTGGACAACATTTAGTCCCAGGACTCCAATCACCTGGGATGACTAGGTAGACATATTTATAGATATGCAATTATTTTTTAAAAAGCACTGAATAAAATGGCCTGCTGGGTATTTGGGAAATTTTTTGTACTAGTTTTCCCTGGTAAAGTACAAAGAGGTAATGTTGAAGGGATGAAGGGGAGCAGCTAGAAGCTCAATAGGAGGAACTAACTTAATGGTGTCATGTGTCAACTTGGCATTCACCAAACACTAATACAGGTGTTGCTGCGAAGTACTTTGTAGATCTGATTAAAGTCCACACTCAGTTTACTTTAAATAAGGGAGATTACCCTAGATGATGGATGAATGGGCTTGACTTTATCAGTTCCAATGCCTTAAAAGCAGAGCTGAAGGTTTCATGAAGAAAATCTCTGCCTGTGCACTGCAGCTTCATTCAGCCTATACCGGAGAGTTCCAGCTTGCCCTTGTTGATGGTTTCCCTGTGAATTTCAGACTTATCTAGCCAGCCACAATCACATTAGCAACTTTTCCGCAATAAATCTCTTCACAGACACACAAACATCTTCTACTTGTTCTGCTGTTCTGGCTGAACACTAACTAATACACACGGTTACAGATGTTTTTAGCTCTGTGGTCCTACAAGTCAGATTTTCTAATGTACCATACTTCTGACTCTTTCCAACTATTCCTCTGGTTCAAGCTACCTTGGCCTTAAATTTGAGAGAACCCCAGGAAATAAAGAAAACTGAAATTAGAATTAAAGAGGTAAAAAGATGCCAGTTAGGCCAGGTACACTGGTACACACTTATAATTCCAGTTAAGGCAGAAGAATAATAAGTTTGAGGCCAGCCTAGACAACTTAGTGAGACCCTGTTTCAAATATTTTTAAAAGGGCTGGTGATGTAGCTTAGTGGTAGAGTGCTTGCTTAACATGCATGAGGCTCTGGATTTAATCCCTAGTACTGAAGAAAAAAGTCCCCAGTTGGGCTTGGAAAAGCTAGCAAAAGGAAGAACTAATCAAGAGGCCCTGAAACGTCATTTCTCATAAAGGACCTAAGAGGCAGGAAGAGAGAGAACTGACTTTGAGAAGTTTACAAAACTAATGAGAACTTCTCAAATGAAGGCCCCTTCTCATCTATCCCCATATTCTAACCACTGTGCAGATCCCCTGCCTGCCAGGAGTCCTGTGTGATCTCCAGGCTATAGTCCGGCTCACAGCATAGTATTTCACAAAGTCATTCAGGGCTTAGCTGGGATTTGCATTTTTGTTTATGGACTGGAGCACAAAATTATTTATCCTTTCTCCATGGAATAGGTTTGGAAATCCTAAAGGCAAATCAGCCTAGAACCTAAGGAACAGAGGATGCCTATTCCCCAAGCTAACTCAAGCACTAGAGAATGTTTTCCAGATGCTATTCTAGACTCCACTGTTTACCTCTTCCTGTACACTGAGGTGTCTCTGGAAATCCTCCACCACAGCCACAGCCTCCTCACCACTCTCAGGGTGATGAAACTGCACCCAGGTTCGGAGCTCCACAGGAAGGATGCTCAAGAACTGTTCCAGCACCAGTAGCTCCAGGATCTGCTCCTTGGTGTGAACTTCTGGCATTAGCCACCAGCGACAAAGCTCCCTGAGCCGGCTTAGTGCCTCCTGAGGCCCAGACATCTCATGGTAACATAACTGCCTAAAGTGCAGCCTGAAGATTTCACAGACAGGAGGGTGGTTCTTCGGGAGACTGCAGCCCGGTCCCCTGGTCTGGTTCCCTGGCTGCTGCTTCACAATCAGACACCCAGCCTGCTTCTGGAAAACAGAGCTCCTGGGGATGAGGCCTAAAGTTCCCCTGCCTTCTGTGGTCATTATGATTCCAAAGAGAAGCTTGCTCCAGTTGCAGGTAGTCCAATTAAAATGACAGACTACAGTTCAGATCTCAGGAGATATTTCTTCAGGGTTGGGGAAGAAAGTGGAGTGTCACCTACAGAAACATCAAGAAAGAAATCAGAGTCTCAGAGTATTTAATTCCAGGATGATGACAGATCCTCCACATAGTTAAAAAACAAAGTTCCAGGAAAAAGAGCACAATGAGAGCCATCTCTCTGTGCATCTCTTGGGACCTACTTACCTTATTAAACTTTTAATCCCATCATCTACAGGATAAAACCTCAATGTCTATGCCTGGCATTCACAACTCTTGGCAGCCCAGCCAACCCCCTGCCTTTTCCCCATGTATGCAGACTAGAAAAACAGCAATGGTCTCCAATGTGGGATATGCAAGATATCCCAAAGGATGGGGGGGGGGGGCTAAGATGTAAGTTAACTCCTCTATTTATTTATGCTTTATAGTATGTATTGAAATTTGTATAGTAGTACATATCTTTAAATTATGAATAAGCCTGCTGGGAGTGCATGTTAAAACTTACTGATAGAGGTGCACACTAAAATTTGGGGCTAACACTGTGGAGAAACAAGTTGAAGCCACATACACTTTCCCTGTTTTCCTTTTCTCAATTTCTAACAAACTGTTACTAATGCTTCCAGACCCAAAACAAATACCATTTTCTCATTAAGGCTTTCCTGATTGCCCCCTTAGGAAAAGAGCTTTTCTTGCTGTACCTCTCATTATGATACTGTATTTTAACTGTTCTATGCGCAATGCACCACTCATGCTCTCCAAAACTGCTGAATGGCCACCAAAATAAAGGAACCAGAAAATTCCAGTCCTTTTCTAGTCTTCCCTACAAAGCTTTCCTCTCCAGCTTCAGACTGGTTATTGCCTCAGTGAACCCACAGGGTGTTTTTCACTCAAACCTCTGACAGATCGCTTCTTTACACTATAATCATAGTTTACATGGGTCTCCCTCAACCCACCACAACCACTTCCTGGGAAGATTCACTGGGAGGACTCAAGGGCAGGGCTGGCTTCCAGGCATCTTGGTACGAGTGTGTACATGGCACATAGGAGTGCATATCTGGTAAACCAAAGAATGAGGTTCATTTAGCTGATACTGAAGTTTGGGGAAAACGTTTGTCCAGTTCATACACTGTAAAATGGCTATTTGAAAACCAGCACCCGGGTGATATCTAGGGTGTAAATGTTATGCTGCCCAATCACCATGCTCCCGAATCCCTGGGTAAGCTATTTTTCTCTGGACTTCAATTTCCTCAAAAAGACAAAGATTGACTTATCTGTTAAGTCTACTGAGATTCCACACAGGTAGAAAGTGCAGGCCATTTTCCTGCTTCCCTGACTGTTCGAATGTTCAGCAGCGCATCTCAAATTGGGCTTTTAGCGTTTCCAAGTCACAATTCACGTTTGAAATGCCAAGGCTGGGTCGGACCCATTTCTGACGCTCCTTATCGTCTCGCGGTGCAGGGCTGGGCACACAGTACTTACATCTCCTGTTAGACCAGGCTTCTGCAGCGCCGCTCACCTGGCCACGTCTGCCCTGCTCATCGTTCCGCCGGCTCCAAGCCAGACGCGGCTGGTCAGATGACCGCGACAAAGAGGCAAAGAGGCGCCTCCGGAGCGCCGCAGGGATCGCGCCGCCCCAGGCTCTGGCCACCGCAGCGCGGGTCCGGCGACGCCGGCGGCCGACCCTCCGTCTCCGCACCGGTCCACATACGCGACCACTAAGCGAGGACACGGTACATTTTCCCCGGCCCAAACAAGTGAAAATAATGGCAGAGTCGGAAGTGAGAGAGCCCCGCTTCCGGCCTCTACGGGATCCCGGAAGTCTAGTTGGGAGGTGTGCGCGCCCTCCCAGGCGAGAGTTGGGGGAGTCCTGGGCGGGGTGGTGTGGGGCGGGGCCGCCAGCGACTGGAGCCAGAACCTGGCTCACCTGAGGCCTCCGGCTGCCCACATCCGGTTCTCAGGCAATTCAGCGTAGGGGAGACCTTTGCTCACCGCAGTCGTGGCCCTTCCCCTCCTGGTGACCTTGGTGAAAGAGTCGCTGGGTCTGTTCACCCTATCTGAAAAGTGCAAAACATAACTCATGTCTTACGGGGCAGGTAGTAGTGCACAAGTACACTCGCGACAAAACAGAAAGGCTGGCATAGTCTTAGCATGACCAGTTAGACTGTGTGTTATAAGTAAAGACATAGGCCCAGAAATGTGGTTAATGTTTTCCTGAGGCAGTGCCAGAGAAGGACAAAGAGCAGATAAAAAGTAGGAAGGTATGAGGACAATTTATAATCTGAGATGCAGTTGTCTTGTTTTGGGGGACAAATGTTAACCCAGATGTATTCTTCACCTTGAAGAATAGTTGACGGAGCAGGCCTTGGAGGCACAATCGCTGGGTGCAATGGCATAGAGAGAAGGACAGAAGATAAGATGGACCACTTCCAGATGGAATTGACTATATATTTTTATGTATCTCCTCATAGCCCAGTAAGTAGGTTCTTTATGGGATCCAAAGTAAATAGTCTCCTGGGCTGTCCAGGGATCAGCAACATCGGGAGGAGTCCTGGGCCTACCTCAGGCTCTGACATCTGTCCCTCATATATATGTGAAGGCAATAATAGAGACAAAGGCAGGGGAAGTCCTACCTCAGAGTTTTCACAGGAAGAGACCTTTGAGAACAGTCTTTGTCCTCTGAGCCTAACTGTGATCTTCTGACATCAAAGTCACCCCTATATTTGGAAATTTCACAGGCAGTGTCTTGGAAGAAGAGATATCTTTGAAGAAGTGTCTGAGAAATTCCTGGAGAAAAGGGGGAACTCAACTCAGGACCAGAGGATTCTTGGCATTAGATAGAAAAAAAATTTCATTACTCACTAAAGGCATAGATAGACAGATGTTTATTTAGGAAAATAGATACATATTCAAGGGAGAATGGGGACAATCTCAAAAAAGACAGCAACCCATTGATGTGGGATGTTAACATTTATTAAGGACATAGGTCAAAGGCCTGAGCCAAGGGCATGTCCCTCAGGAGTTGCAATTATTTGTTTGTGTGCTTTCTGCATTTCCATGGTTTATGGGAATTTCCTTTGAAATTCAGTATCTTTCTCTTTATTCCCCCAATTCCTATCTAAGGAGGTCAAGGCAGTCTGGGCCTATATGCATGGCATTGCGGCTGGATATAGCCTATTGGTCCATCAAAGCCTTAGAGGTCCATGGATTTGCTTTTTTTTTTTTTTTTTTCTTTTTCTTTTTTTGCCAGTTTTGTGTTTTATTGCAGCATGGCACTCAGGCATTTATTGCCTAGTTTTGTAGAGGATACAGCTGTTCTTTCTGCTGCTGCTTCTTGGTCCTCAAATCTTCCTTGTGCTTGTTGATTCAGTGGCATGTAGCTCACATCTTCTTGGGCCACAGGTCCAGCGGCTTGTACTGCATGCCCTTGTAGAATTTTCTGAGGTTTTTCTTTCTGAGTCTGGCTAATAATGGGAAGAACACCAGGGATGGATTTGCAGACAACTTGAGTCTTGGAGAGCTTGGATGCTCGTTGAAAAAGAACAAGGCCCAGGGTTCTTGAGCAGGAATTATTTTTGGTACTGGAGATTGAACCCAGTGGTGCTTAACCACTGAGCCACATACCCAGCCCTTTTTATTATTTTATTTAGAGACTGGGTCTTGCTGAATTACTCAGGGTCTCACTAAGTTGCTGAGGTTGGCTTTGAACTTTTGATCTTTTAGCCTGCAAGCTGCCAGGGTTACAGCATGTGCCACCATGCCTGGCAGGAATTCTCTTAAGGACAGGTCAAAAGCTGTCAGTTCTTTTTTTTTTAATTTTTTTTTAGTTATAGATGAACACAATGACTTTATTTATTTTTATGTGAGGCTAAGGATCCAACCCAGTGCCTCACCCATGCTAAGTGAGTGCCCTACCACTAAGTCACAACCCCAGCCCCAAAAGCTATCAGTTCTTATCTCCAAGTTTCTTTGACCAAGTGCTGTCCTGCAGTTCTGGCTGCCTAATGTAGGAGATTCCTACATTAGGCAATGCACAGGCAATAATAGAGGGTTGTTTTTTTGTTTGTTTGTTTTGTTTTGTTTTTAATTCCTCAGAGGTATTTCATGCTCAGCTAGTTGGCTTTCATTGTCTGTGATGGCTGGAGTCATCTAAGCAGCATTTCTGGACTTCAGAAAAAGCTCATCTACGTTTGGCATTGTGGGCCTTATCTACCACAGATGAGCTGGGTCAAAATAGGCAAGACATGCCTCACTATGCTTCCCATATAACACTTTGGGAGACCTACATTTTGGCCAAAAATGACCTTGAGAAGGCTTGTAGTAATTCTGTAACCTATCCTGATTTTTATTGGAAACCATCACAAAAAGTTTGGAATGAGAGCTACCACACAAGGAACCCAAGTTCTACTTTTCTAATGCAAAATACACTATCTAACCCAAACCTTGAAGCTCTACCCATGATGCCATCTATTTTGGAAAAACACAGTCTTGGTGTATTCTTTTGAGATACCTATACCACTCACTATGCTGCTCTACATCACTATTATCTCCTCTTCTGTGTTAAGTCCTACCTGGGGTAGGGGAAGCTTTGAAAAGTGTCCCCTTAGGGACCATTTAGATTTAAGAAGACCACAAAGAAAGGAGCACAGTCAGGTCAGTGGATTTGCTGCCTGCAAACTACTCAGACCTCTGACATCATCTTGGTGGACATCCCTTTTCAACAGTCAGAACATTCATGTACACCCTAAAAAAAGTTGGGGTCTTAGACACCCCAAAGGAGGTTTGCTGATATAGGAAGAAAATCTCAGCTACCTTGCTTCAATGGGAGTGGATGGGGCCCAAGCTCAGCAAGGAGAGCACAAAGACTCTCCTTTCATCTCAAAAACTCTTACTCATCCTTTAAGACTTAACTGAGAAGCCCCTTCTCTGGGAAAATCTTCTTTGTACACCTTCCCAACCTAAATTAGGTACCTCTTCTTTTGTGCCTCTGCAGTAACCTCCCATATTCTTGTCATGGACCTTTCTTGCCATACTGTATTTACACCGACTTATTACTACAACTCCCTTACTGTAAGCCCCATGTGAGCAAGTCTCTTTAATTCACAATCAAGTCCCTAGGTGAAAGGACACTCGCAGAGTCCACGCAAAGTCCAAAGATCACACCACACACCAGAATTCCACTCGGGAGATTTATTGTCAGAGCAAACTGACAAGGCTTTCCCTCCAAGAAGAGCAGCAGCAGGTGGGCACTCACAGGGCAGCTTTATAGCCCGCAAGAGGAATTTCACAAGCATACTTTGGGGGTCATGGGCTGGGATGGCATTGACCCTTTAGCAGGCACAGGCTAAGCAACATTGCCTTAAGATCTCTAGATAAAATGGCTCCTAAATTGAAACTTAGGAGTCACTAGATAAAAATGGCTCCTGAACTAAAATGGCAGGTCTGATGCCAATACCAGCTGCTAACTCCACGCTTTGTTGGATGTCTTGCTTTGTTTTGTTTAGGAGGAGAACTCCTTAGGAGGAGAACTCTATACAGCCAGGCCACCTTTGTTTCCCTGATATCCAGCAAAGAGCCTAATTTGGCCACCAAGAAATGTGTCCTTGATTAAAGCTTCAAGGCTGAGAAGGAAACTGATAAGTCTCAGTTATGGCAAGTTGCCTGTGATATCCAGCTACCTTGAGGGATTTGGAGAGAAAGAGACAGGAACAACTCTCATACATCTGTATGTCTGCTGTGCACTCCCAGAGCCTGTGTAAGACAGCATCATTAGTTTGCAGGCGAGGATCTGGAGGCTTGGCAATATTTTGCTGGCTGAAAATGTTAAGGAAGCCCTTGAATTGAGGTCTTTAGACCTGCCCTCTTCTCCCATTGCTCTGACTTTTTCATTCCTGTTTTTTAATTCCTTCCAGATTTCTTCCGCAGGGAGGATTAACGATGTCACAAAACGGGGGGGGGGGGGGAGTGTGTTTTCTTTATCCACTGGCCTCTAGGAACCCCGCAGAGACCCAAGCCCAGGTCTAAAGACCAACGAGATGCGCAGACCTCCGACTTCCTAGACGAAACCGGAAGCAAGCGAAAACCGCGGAAGGATTCATTTCCGGTGATCTTATGTTCAGGACTTCCCTGGCCACTGCGGTTGGGGGCCTGGGGATCAGGGTGGGGAGTTTGTGGATGTACTGCTAGAGTCCCCGGCCTGGGGCTACCTCCTCCTCCCCATATCCACTGCTGGTGCTGGTATCGACTCCCTCTTGATACAGATGGGGCGATGCAGCGAGAGGTGGAGACCAGCGAGGGCGTTTGGCGCGGGAACTTAGGCTTCTTCCTTCCAAATGAGTACCGCAAGCATTCTGTGTTTCCCTGTGGGTTCAGTCCCAGTGATCTTCTGGGGTTGGGGACAGATCTGAAGCATCCTACATCCAGTACCCTGTTCTGGCCAAATCACCCTCTGGGGCCTGTCGTCCAGTCCCCCACGCTCTCCACCAGTCTTTGAGATGCAAATCTGTGAGGGGGAAGGAACATTTTCTGGCCGCCCTAACCATAGCTCTCCACCAGCTGAGTTGTTACCCCTTCCTTTCTTGCCAGTGGAGAAACAGACCCACAGAGAAAAAGGAACCAGGTCTCCTGCCTCCCACTATTAGCAACCTTGTCTCTTTGTGAGCCTGTCTTCAGTGAGCTTGATTTTCCTAAAGCATAGCTTTGGTGTTGGAAATAATAAACTTGACGTTATTAGTTGTAATCTATCAGTTTCTGGGTACTCTTGGACCTCATATTTGAAAACCAAATTCTTCCTGAAGTGTCTCAAAACGGGCTGGAAATACT